AAGGATCTCACCTCCTTTTCCATGTTCTCCACACTCTTAGAGACATTTGTTAGACATATGACATCTAAAGGGGTGAATAGATGTACAAATTAAAAATTTATTTAAGATGTCAAATAATTTGTTAATTCAATTTTAATTATCATATTAAATATAGATAAAGCGGAAGTGATAAAATAATCAAAGACATATAGGGAAAGATAAGAGAACATAATAATTTATACTAGTTTGGGTCAAGCCAACCCTACATCCACTTCCCTGTCACCTCTAATATGAGAGAGACAATCCAATTCACTATCTTTAAAATTCAGTTTACAAATTACAATCAACTTTGCAGAAGAACCAATAAACAATAAACTAATTAAAAAGATAAACACCTCCCTAGAATCCCACTAGAGATGAACACCTCCTCTGAACAAATCAAAGGATGAAAACACACCTCTCAAGAATCCCACTTGAGATGAAAACCTCATCTGAACAAATCAAAGGATGAAAACACATCTCTCAATAATCCCACTTGAGATGAACACCTCCTCTGAACAAATCAAAGGATGAATAGTTCCCACAAAGGAAACCCTAAATGATAAGAATTTCAACAAGAACAGTCACACCTGATAATGGAGACAACAAATTGTAGAAGCCTGTAGAATGATAGCTCCAAGCACAAGTGTGATTAACAATGAAAGCACCGAAGGCAATAGAGAAAGGATTTTCTCAGAAAAGTGTAAAATGACTATGTTGCCTTGCTCAGAATGATTTTCTCAAAACTGTGTATTCAAATTTATGTATTCAAGTTCTGTATTTTGATTTTTCATCAAAGTTCATTTAAATAGGAAAATAGCATTGAAGAATAAAAATAAAAAATAGTAGTTGCTCAGTCATAAATTCGTAGAGATAAATCAAGATGTTTTCAAAAACTATTATCTTTCAAAAACGGATATATTTTTCAAATTTGAATAATCGATTATATGACTTGCATAATTGATTATGATAGAGACAAAATCAAATTTTCATTTATGATGCTTCATAATCAATTATAATACTTATATAATCGATTATGACACTTATATAATCAATTATGATACTTATATAATCGATTATGACAAACTACAAAATTGCAAATTTTAAACTGCAAAAATTCAAATTTCAAACTGTCATAATCGATTATGATGCATCAAAAATGAAAAATTGATTTTTCCTCTGTCATAATCAATTATGCAAGTCATATAATCGATTATGGTACTTCAAATTTGAAAAATATATCCGTTTTTTAAAGATAATAGCTGTTGAAAACATCATGATTTATCTCTACAATTTATTACTGAGCAACGACTATTTTTTATTTTTATTCTAACATATCCAATGTTATTTCCCTATTTAAATGAACTTTGATGAAAAATCAAAATACAAAACTTGAATACAGAAATTTGAATACACAGTTTTGAGAAAATCATTATGAGTAAGGCAACAGAGTCATTTTACACTTTTATGAGAAAATTCTTTCTCTATTTCCTTCAGTGCTTTCATTATTAATCACACTTGTACTTGGAGGCTTATGCACAATACTACTTCATCAACTTGTACCTTCATATCCAGTGTTCTACGACTCTATCTAGTCTTCGAGCTTGCTTGAGTCTTGAGTAGTGTTGACTTGAATCTTCATCAAAATCATCTCCTTCAGAATGTAGCGAAATGTTTCACATTGCTATCAATCTCTCCTATAGTGCTTTCAACATTTTTGGTGGGCTAGGACGAATTTAACATATTTTTGTCATGGGAACTCTTAGCCTTTAGGTTTAGGTTAAGTTTATGTCTCCTTTTATAATTCCATTTAGGACCCTCCCCCAAAAGCCTATAAAGAGAAAGTTTCCCCTCATGTAATTAGATTGAACATTTATGACAAGTTTGTGAGGTTTCTTAAAGTGTTTCATCTCTTTGAGTGTCTTATCTTGAACCTTGATTCAAGTGGCAGCAACCACCACTTATCTAGGGTGGCTCATCCCCTAGTGGCATGTCAACACTCCGCCACCACTGTATTTCTCTTCTCTTCATCTTTTCTTCTTTATTTCTTCACTCTATTTATTTATCCAAGGGGCTGGTCCATTTTTCTAGTCCTTGTCTTTATTCTTTTCTAGTTTCATTCCATCTCCTCCTCCCTCCACAATCCTTGGAAATGAATCTTCACATCTAGATAGGCAACTATCTCAATGTCCAGTGGGAATTTTCCTTGGGTTTGCTTACTTTATTGCTTAAAATTCTGCACCTTATCTTCTTAAAATTGTACACCTTACTTTATTTTACATCACCATGAGTTCTCATGAGAATGGAGAGACACTTCCTAGAAGGATTACTAGGAGCATGACTAGAAGGGAAACCTCCTATTAATTATTTCTTTTATTTTACTTAGTATTTTTCCTTCTTCTTAATTTTCTAGACTTTTTATTTTGTAGGATTACTTAAGGACACCCCACTTTTGATGTTGACCATCCTTTTTGGAGGAAGAAAGCCTTGGATCTTACCCTTTTAGCATGAGATGACCCATGAAGACCTTTAAGCTTCTAGAATCTTGAAATCGTGTGAGGTGAACCTTCACACTTAGATAACTTTGTGTCCAATGAAAATATTCTTTGAGTTTTCTTACTCATATAAACACAAACACCTTACTAGCAATTGCTAAAATGAACTCTTATCAAAACACCTATTAAGCCTATTAGTAGCTTTGTTGTCTTGAGCAATTACTTAATCTTTAAAAAATAGCTTTTATTTATTTATTTTATTTATTTATTTTTACTTTTGTGAAACCAAATTTATATATTTATCACTATGTTGTTTAAATAGCTGAGTCAAAATAAGATTAAAAAAAACTTACAAGGATTTTTAGGTTTTTAACATTGGAATATTTTCTCTTTTACTTATATTTTTTTTTCTTTTAACAAGTTTCAAAGTTTAATTTTATTTGTATGAATGAAATATTGACAATTAAAATAAATATTATAACCATAATTTATAGATCATCATCATAATAGAGTCATGGAAGATGTTGATGGAATGACACTAATCGTTTATCCTTTTTCTTTAATAATTAATTTGTGGTGTAACAACTCTCTTTATTTATCTTAAATTATTCTTTTAAAGTATAATTTTTTTTATTAATAAGATATAAAAATTAAGGTGGAAATGATTTGAGAAGAGAATGAAATTGAGAATAATAATATTTGGCCGATGGAGGGATTACACCCGTTTGCCCTTTTTTTCTAGTGAAAATGCTTGATTGTTATCCTTAAAAAGTGAGAGGTTGTTGTAATTTTGTCTACTACAAAATATTATTGTGCACTATAACAATTAGAATATTTTTCATATTACAAAGAATCCTATATTTCACTTAAAGAAAAAAAATATTGATATACAGTACCATTATGCTTGAGAAGTAGTAGAAGAATCTATTGTAGATATACAAAAATTTCACACAAATGAAGGTCTAGCTATATTATGATGAAGACAATAAACAATGACAAGTTTTTAAGGATTGATCTTACTATAGTCACATTTGTGGGTTTTATAAAAGAAGAATAATGTTTATATTAAAAAACACGTCAAAATTACTTTCTTTTCTTTTTTACTATTTCGAGTACAAAATAGTTGTGTTCTTTTATTTTTCAGAGAATATTATTATCTCCTTGAATTTAAAGATAGAAAGGTAATTTTTTTCATTAATAAAATTACATCAATACTTGTTATCAGTTTTATTTTATTTTTTTCATGTTTTATTTTATTTTAACAAGTAAATTCTTATATTATCTTGTATCATAAATTATACATACTATGTTCGATTCACTTGCCTAACATAAGCTATAATAGAAATTGTTCTTACCAAGCTGAAGATGGTTGATAAAATGTTGGTCGAGTTAAAGATGATCGACAAGATAAGATGAAGTCGGTTAGCAAAACATTCGTCAAGCTAATGATGATCGACATGATAAAAAGATGAAGTCGGTTGATTGATTTTTGAACTAGCTTTAAAGAAGATCTTCGGAAAAGCGTAGAGGTCTACCTACAAAAGACACTCTGATGTTTAAGTCAACTTTTAGACAAGAGATTGATATATATATAAGAATGAATTATGATGTGAAGTTTACTCCTGGTTAGATTCCTTTATATAGTATTCAAAAGATAACAATAAATTGAGATATAATATCGGATAACCCATAAAATAATAACTAATATAAGATATTATAACAGAATAAAGATAATTAATAACAAAATAAATAAAATAGTATTTTTAATGAATTTTAGCCGATAAATATGGTTAATCGATCCAATAGTTTTTGACCGGCTAAGTACATAAACAATACTCATTGAAATTAAAGGATTTCTTTTATACTTATAAGTTCTATACAAAAATGAATTTGAAGACATACAAGTAACACAAAAATAAGGGAATGTGAACACTCTTTAAAAATGTAAAATTCTAGCTATCGAATCTTCTAAAAATAGTTATCTTTATTTATGGACTTTACTTAAATAAATTAAAAATTTACAATATTTTATAAATTAAATCAACTAATTTAATTTCCATCCATTCATATTAAGAAAATAATTATATTGGTATGTTACAGAGGACAAGAGAGTTCCAGTCAACAACTACATGAATGACATACTTTGTAAACAAAGATGATAGAGTAGGTTAAAACAAATAAATGTTATGTATTAAGTATTCATCGTTACCATGCATTAACATATTTTTTTAAGAAAGTTTCTAAATATCACAATCACATTCTTGATATATAGATTGTATTTTGTAAACTGTTCTTATTAAGGATTGAGAATGTCTGGTCTATTGTTCATTATAATAATATTGTTATGATAAATTTTCATGATTGAGGTATTATAGATTAAGAAAAAAAAGTGTATTTAAACTGCTCCACTCGTAACTAACAAGAATTTCATGACAGTACCGAAGATAAACATTTTTCTTACAATTGGGTTTTTCATTGTCGAAAAACATGGTTATAAAGTTAATGTATTTTAAATCAATGATAATAGCGAATTTTAAAAAGATTTTTACCTTCCACGTTTCACGTTTAGATAAAAGTTAAAATTGATTGGTTTGAAGCATGATGATGAGGTGTGTTGTAGATTTGGTGATAGTATACAAAGCGGCTATGGCTATAGAAAACGTGGATGTGTGGCCGTTTTAGAGGAGACAGTGATTGCAGATAATTGGCATATGGCAAAGTGGGGTAAGAATGACGATGCTGGTGACATTGGCATGGGACCATTCTTCAAGCTTTTTCTCCACGCAGTCCAAGACACATGCGCCAATTCAATCAATACTAACTCACTCTCAAGTGTGGAATCAAACTAACCATGGTCCACCAACATTGCTAAGGTTGACACACGATGCATGTTAGATTTCTTCTCTTCAATATTTCTTCAATTTTGACTAACTTTTTAATTAATACTTCACTTCACTTTTTATCATTTCTTTAATCACGTGTTATACTTTATGCTGCAAAAAAAAAAAAAAAAAATATATATATATATATATATATATATATATATATATAAAAGATATATTATATCTAGGATGTTGAAATGAGTTGACGGGTCCAACTTACTTCAATTTTAAAATAAATTATAATTTTTAGTTTAATTAATTAATTTTATTTTAATTAAAAATTAAATAAAAAATTATAATATATTTATATAAAAATAATTATTTACAAAAGTAAATAAAAATTAAAAATATATTAAAAATTTTAAATTATATTAATAAAATTAAGTTGTATTTTATATATAATAATTTAATATAAAATTGTAAGAAAATAAATCAATTTATTTATAAAATAAAATAAATTTTTTTTATTTTTATAGTTTATTTTTTATTTTAGTAATATAATAATTTAAAATAATAATTCATTTTAATAATTAAATCCACTGATAATTAATTAAATATTTATTTTTATATTTATCGTTAAAAACATGAATATATATTTAAATTAATTTATAATATATATATATATATATATATGTATGTATATTTAATAAAATAATATTTTTTATTTAAATTATTATTTTATAAAAGACATCAACGTATAAATCTTAAGATTATTTAGATTAAAAACTAATAGACGGAATCAAAATTGATCTAATTTATTTTATATCATAATAATTTTTTTGTCTTAAATTAAACTATAGTTATATTAACATATTAAGTGTAAATTATTATTTATTCGTTAACTATGGAAGATTTTCATAATTAAAAATATGTTATGTACATTTAGATGAAGTGTTCAAAGAAAATCTAGGTACAAGAAAAGCGTTTATTTTTTACGGATTTTTACCGACGGATTTGTAGTCGTCGAGAAAATTAGTTATTACAGACGGATACAAAGTAGTTGTGGAAATTGATCTTACCGACGAGATATATCTATAGGTAAATCCGATCCAGTAAATTACGTCGGTAAATTAACAATTAATTACTGATGGATATATCTGTCGGTAAATTCGTCGGTAAATTAACAATTAATTACTCGATGCATATATCTCGTCGGTAAATTCGTCGGTAAATTAACAATTACTTATCGACGAGATATATCCGTCGGTAAAATTATATAATAATTACTTAATTTTAAATATATTCTAATAAATTAATTATTCACCTAATTAAAAAATTAAATATTTTTTCTATTTAATAAATTAATTTAATCATAATTATATTAATTTATAATAATTTATTAAATTAAATAATTTTAAAAAATAAATATTTAATTATATAAAAATATCTAAATATATATAAATATATAAATATACAAATATATAAATATACAAATATACAAATATACAAATATATAAATATATAAATATATAAATATACAAATATATAAATATATAAATATAAAAATGTATAAATATAAAAATATAAAAATATAAAATATATAAATATATTGTATTTATATATTTATTTTGATATACATTTATTTGTATATAAATATAATTTATTGTAAACTATAATCGAAAAATCTTAGTAGATTAGTGGTTGGAGTATCAGCCTCTTATAAGATCCTGGGTTCGAATCCTGTAAGTAACAATTCTCTAAATCTAAATTATAATTCAAACTTCTAAAAATATAAAGAAATAAATAATAAATATATTACTTATTAATACAAAGAAAAAAATTAAAATATAATTTTTACTTATACTGATTTAAATTACTTTATAAGACTCTTAATGAAACATATCAAATTTAAAATCATATATTTTAGATTTTAAATTCAATCTAATTAACTGAATTTAAATAACATAAGAACTCATTTTAGTTAAAATAAAAGTTTATTCTTTAGTTAAAGGAAAAAATTGTTGATTTTAAGATGATTTATACTAAATCTGCATATTACGTATTTGATTAAGGTGTCTTAATTATTTAATAAAAAAATATAACAACTAAATTAATTGAAATGAAATTTAATTGAAATTGATAAAAATAATATTTTGATTTTAATATCAATTTTATCTGGATTAAATATACATAAATTTAATCTTATTTAAATTAAATTCCCAAAAATATATTTATCTTATCTAATTAAATTAGATTTCAATACTAATCTATTTTACTACATATCTCGATTAGTAAAATTTCAAATCCATGTTACCCCTAATTTGGGCCAAGCTCATGTGGTGGTTTTGGTACTAAGTAATAATTTCTCAATTTTATGAGTTCAGATTGAGAGAAAATATTTCATTAAATGTTTCTTCAATAATATGAATATTTTAAACTAAGAACATAGGTTGCAAACATAATATCAAAAGATAATAAAATCAAATAATTATATAAGGGATTGTTAAGGTGTTTCTAGAAGGGGTATGCTTATGATTAATCCAAAATAAATTTGATATAATTTTACGTGATTTAAAAAAAAATGCATTTGACAAAAGCTGAAAAACAAATTGAGAGTTGCAAAAAAAGATATGATAGTTGAAAGTTGTTAACTAACGGAATCAAACTACAAAATAGCTGATAAAATTATTTGTTGAAGATGTTGATTATTAATGTAAAAATGACAAAATAGACATATTTAATTATAATTTATATCAAATTTAATATAATTAAAAAAATTGAACTGTTTATAAAAAAATTTCATTTTTAATAAATTTTAAACTCTTGTAATTTTCATTTAAAATAATTTATTTTAATTATATTATTTAATTTTAATTATTATATTTTTGTAGTACAATATTTATGTTATTCATCTTATCGATATCCTAAAATATTTCTATTTGAGTTTAAAATAAAAATATTATAAAGGAGTAAACATCGTACTTTCATCAAGTTGATTTATATATCTTAAATTATAATGAAACCTACATTATTAAGAATGGCAAAACACTATGTATAAAAACTTAAAAAAATCATTGCTTTTAAAAACATTAATTGAAATAATATTTTTTAAAACGTTAAAAATTTCTATTTTTTCTATCAAACATAGTTTATAAGATTATAGAACATTTTCACCTAATAAAACAAATTAAAACTAACGGAAGAATCCATGTCGAAATAGCCTAAAATGAATTCACCTTAGCAAATCCTATCATATGTATCATAAATTATTCATCACAATAATGAAAATATTATTAATTACTCTTCTTTTGTTTTGGGAAATGGATTTCTATACCCTTATAAGTTGGGAAATGGACAAAATCATAAGGATAAGAGAAATAAAAGTGAAAAATGCCATGAAAAAGAAACAAACATATAAAGAACGAAAAGCAGCAAAAAAAAGTATGTTTAATGAGAGTAATTTATAGATTTTTTTTTCAATAATTTTAAATAAAAAAAAATCGGAGTTATGGATTGTTTCTATTTAGAGTTTTCTGTTACATAGTTCTTTCTTTAATAGTTTCGTCCTTTTCTCCCTTCGTACACAAAAATTAGTTTTTGAAACTTGTTTTATTAAAAAAAAATTAAAAACAAAAATACAACTACGTAGGATAAACAAGCTATCCGACTATTATAAAAAAAATACTTAGCATCATTTCTATTTGAGTGGCTCGTATAAAAGTCTTTATTTTTTACATTTATAAAAAAAATATTTACATATATTATTTGACGAACTTCAGACCAATAGTTTTGGCACGTGTCCTTTCTTTTTGTTCATAAATATATATATCATGCGACCCTTCCAATACGTGACACACTTCATCATATCTCATTCAGCCACGTGCTACACTCATTTTACGCTCCTTTGATAAACACGTTTAGAGCTTCAAATTTGTTGATCACCTTCATTCATTTCCTCCTTATAAAAACCCTTCCGCCGTCAATTTTCCCCAAAATTTAATCCCCTCACATATAAATACACATCATCACCACCACCACCACCAACAACTACCACCATATACACACATGGTGAAACCAGCCATGACTAGGGTGGATTCTTCTTCTTCTTCTTCTCTTACTTCTTGCAATGACTCATTCTCGACAAACAATTCTAGTGGGTGTAAGATGTACAAAGGAGTGAGAAAGAGAAAATGGGGCAAATGGGTGTCCGAAATTAGGCTTCCCAATAGCCGTGAGCGTATATGGTTGGGGTCTTATGATACTCAGGAGAAGGCAGCGAGGGCTTTCGATGCAGCCCTCTTCTGCCTTCGAGGCAAGGATGCCAGTTTTAACTTCTCGGACACACCTCACCACCTGGAAATCGACTCGATCAAGACTCCGCGAAGTCATCAAGACATCCAAGAGATGGCAGCAAAATTCGCCAAGGAGATGGGGAGTTTGACAGGAGAAGAAGATGGAGAACATGGAGCTCAAAGTGAGTCCGAGTCCAAGTCCAACCACTCCACAGACACCAACACAAACACAAGCTTTCCTATTTTTGATGGTGGGACAAATCATCACGTGCAAGTAGACTTAGAGACCATGGATTGGACATTTATGAACATGTTGGATGACTTAAATGGTGGCTCCGATTTTGACCTCTATTTTGGGGCAGACAAGGGTGAGTTTTTCTGTCCCACAACACAAACTCCACTGCTCTTTCACCATGTGGATGAGATTGAAGGTGGTAATGATCATGATCATGATGCCTTTTCTAACCACTCTTTTCTTTGGAGTTGGAACTTTTGATTCACCCAAAGTACCTCTTACTGGCAAACAAGCAAAGCAAAGCCTCCTTATTATACCTTTTAGCCATTTATGCATGGCTGTTTTTAATTATAGTAGTTAGGCTGTGACTGCGGCTATATCAAATACACCATACATATATCATATTTCATATTTCATAAAGAAAAAAATATGAAAAAATATATATGGTATATATATATATATATATATATATATATATATATATATATATATATATATATATATATATATATATTATGGAAAGTGGCCCAGTTTTTATTGCCATCTTTCTGTTCTGTTGATGTAACTAGCACTAGCTAGTTGTTTTGGATCTACTTTCTAGGGTAACTAGCTTTAAAAGATTATAAAGTAAATAGTTTCAGTTGTTGACGAAAAAAATCATGGTTGTAAATTTTTTTTATATCAAAAATAGATATTATTTACTTGTCTTTTATGTAATATAGAAGAAGCAAATTTAGATTCTTCTACCTAGGTAAAAGTAGACAATAGCAGTTTTATCAGCTCCCACTGTCAATTTGTCTTACAGTTTCATTTTGGGATACAATCTGCTTAGTAGTTTAATATCACATTTATAAATATCAGTTTTATTATCTAATTAATACTTTTATGCGTATATAGCATGATTTGGAAATTATCTAATTAATACTTATTGTTGTTTTTTGAATAATATATATGCATCAGCTATAAATTAAGAAGTGGGAATACATTAAGTTAAGAAGTAAGCGTGTATATCTTCTGATGCAATAACTTGCGTAAGAAATGTTATTTTGATAACTGAAACAATAAAAAAATCTATAATTAAATTTATTAATATAATATTATAATTTATTATTATATTGTATATTATTTATAGTTGTAGAATGAGTATATGGATTATAGAAATATATTTATTTGGTTATTAATAATATTACATTTAAAAAGATAATTATTAATATTAAAATAAGTATAATTTATTATCTAAATTAAAATATCAATGAACACTATCTTTTGCAAAACATTTCAATTCATTAAAAGACTTCTATTTTAGATAGATATTTTTTTCAACATTTATTTATTATTATAATTATTTTATTGTTATTGACAAAAAGTACATTTATTTATTATTATAATTATTTTATTGTTATTGACAAAAAGTACAAGTAGATGAAGTGCTAAAGGAATCAATAATATTGAAAAGATAATTGAAACTATCGAGAGTTGAAGATCGAATAAAATTGAATCTACAGTGAAATGTGAACTTAAAATGATAAATTGGAATGTGTAGATGGAGAATACAAGTTGTAAAAGTTTAGGAAAGATTCAAAAGCATGTGTCATCAAAAAGAGATTGAGTTGAACAAATGAAAAATCAAGTTGAAAAATTTAGTGTAAGTAATCAAACGTTTAAGATTGAAGAGTTGAAGATGTTGAATCTAAGGTTGCAAATCGAAAGAAACAATACATTGAGAGGAAGTCACGCAATCGAAAGATATGCAGAAACAGATTATTATCTCGTTACATGATATGTGCACTTATAGATGTTACATGGCAATAAAGGGAAGGAGCTACAAGAAGTATCTGTTCGTGAATTTTTATTTATATTTTGGTATATTTTATTTGACTTGATTTTAATTTATTTCTTATTTTTATTATATATTTAAGTGTTTTAGTGATTACATAAAGAAAAATATAAATAAGGTGAAATAAATGTAAAACGGGTGATTGTGAAATTGTATGAAGACTTGCATTATCAAAAAACTACTACAAATAAGGGACAAACGTTTTTTAATGGAGTTTTTTGCAATTTGGATCCCCAACTTTATTGATATCATTTATTAGTTCATGTTTTATCCTTAGTAATGTGTTAGATTTATGATTATACAATTTATTTTCTTTGCATATGTATCTTTTGTTGCACATTTACTTTCTAACAATTTACTTTTATTATACTATTATTATTCTCGCAATTTACTTTAATGTTACAAATTATATTAAAAATTCAAAATTGTATGTGAATGGTCTTTGATAGAAATACATTGTGTTGTGATTATCCAATGATTGGTATTGGTCGCGTATAAATGTAGAAATTCGTGTTTGACAGTAAAAAAATAAAAGAATTCACATGGTGTTCAAATGATTCATCATGTACTTTGAGTATTGGTATATGTCTATTTGATCGAAACAGTGAATCATTTACACTATAAACAAATTGGCATGCCCAGTGGGACAATTGCGATTTTCTATAGACTAATAATGTATGAGATTAAGGAGTGGTAAGACAGTCGTGACAAGTCAAAGCACATTAACATCTAATGTAGCACCAAACAATACCAATGAGGGTCAGAATACAGGTAGTGGGTATAATAGTGTGAGCGAAAATGTTTAGGGTAGTGTTGTCGATCTAAATAATACTAGTAGTCAAAGTAATCAAGGAATGTCAATAATATAACCAATAAATAATCCTATGGGTAGTGCTTCTGTTGGACCACATGTGACAACAAATAGACCCGTTATGTTGGGGGGCATAATGCTAGTGGAAATTCATCAACCCAGAGAAATAACAAGGAATACCAATAATAGAAAGATATCCATGGGAAATGTTGTCATGGCAACCAACCCCAAACTCTAATAGGAAGAATGATCAAAGTCAGAATCAACTTAGGTTTGAAAATAATAGGGAGAATAATAGAAATCAAGGTGACTTCAAAAATATAAATACTGGAATATCAAGCAGTGCATTAGGGATAATAAGACTACAAATGGATGATAGTAATCATGAAATGGTTAACCTATTATCTCAACAAATGACCACCATCTTAAATCATGTAGTACATATTATCGCCGATAGCTTTCAAATATTAGTTTAACAAATGACAAGGATAGGAGATACACTTGCTATCCCTAGAAGAAATTGTTAGAATTACAGGCTGAGATCAAGAGGGGGGTGAATTGATCTAAACAAAATTTTTTGTAAATTTCAGATATAGATTATAATTTTCAAATATTTAAAATTTTGATCAAATATTGAACCAAGAATTATCAAGCAGGATGAAAGAAAGAGATAAAAAAAGGATAAGAACACCAATATTTATACTGGTTCACCCAAACCACTAGACTACATCCCGTTCTCAACCAAATTCTAGTTGAGTTCCACTAATCAAAATTCGTTTTATTACAAGAACAGATTGCAAACACACAATCTCCACCAAGAACTTTGACCCAGTTCTTGAACCTTCACTGCAACCAAATTCTAGTTGCTAAACTAGTGTCCACACTTCCGAGACACCAAAAATACAAAAAATCGACAGAAATTTGAAAGAATAGAAGAAACTAAAACAATCAAACCAGTATGCAGATGCAAGAATCTAGCTACAAAATGAATTTCTTCAAAAATCAAGAACAATGAGCCTCGAGAAAGATTTCTAAGGAATTTCCATGGAAAGAGCGCGCTTCTCTCTTGAAAAAGATCTCTAAAGGTTTCTTGAATGATTTCTCAAAAAGATGATTTAAAACATTGGAGAGAATATATTTATATAGAGATTTTTCTAACTAACTGGTTCAATTAATCGATTAATTCGCTCTTTAATTAATTAAAACAACTTAGCTTAAATAAATTTAACTAATAAAAAACTCCTTTTAATCGATTAAAAGGTTTGACAAATTTTTCCTGAGACATTTTAATTGATAAAAATGTGGTTTAATCAATTAGAATATTTTTGAAAATGTTCTAGAGGCGTTTTAACCGATAAAAACGAGTTTTAATTGATTAAAACAGTGATAAAAAATTGTTTAAGTATTTTTAATCAATTAATTCGAAGTTATTTTGATAAAAATTTTGGCAATAAGTTTTCTAAAACTTTTTGAGTTATTTAATCGACTAATTCGAAGATATATAAGTTAAAATACTAACGGAAGGTTTTCCAAACCTTCTAAGTGAAATTAATCGATTAATTCGAAGATATATCGATTCAAATTGCGACAAAAAATGTTTTCACTTGATTTAAGTGGTTTTAATCGATTATTTCGAAAATGCATCCGTTGAAAATGTGATCGAAGGTGTTTTCAAGTTGCTTAAGTGATTTTAATCAATTATTTTGAAAACTTATAAGTTAAAATCGAGACTTAAGAACATATTAATCAATTAAAATGATTTTTAACAGATTAAAAAGATTTGAGACACTTTATACTTTTATAAATGATAGAAATTCATGTTATACAAATGGATAAATGAACATACGTACTCAATAAATTTCTGACTCACTAATGGACTTAACAATACATCTCCTATTTCATGACTCTTTTTTACTTCATCAAATTTTCAAGGCTTCCAAGATTCTTACTTCTTCATCAGAAATAATTTGGGAAATGATAATGGGAAAGTAGGAAATAATCAGGGTGAACCTCTAGGAAAAAGTAATAATAATCAAAATATTCAAGGAAATCATAATCAGGTGAGAGATGTTAGAATAGTCAATAAAGGTCAAGATACAAATCAAATCTTGCAAATGTGGGATAACATATGGAGAAATAATCATAATAATGGAAATTATTAACAAAATGTTTATAATCAAATGATAGGACAATGGAATCAGCCTTATGTGGGGATGAGGTTGTATAATCAACCATATTTTATTTTGCATTTTCCTGATTTTGTTCTTGAGGCTAAATTTCCTAGAGGACAAAAGTTACCAAAATTGACTAAATTTGCAGGTGATATTGGGGAATCTACTGTTGAGCATATAACTAGGTATCAAATCAAATGTTGAAACCTTCTAACAAATGAAAGTTTGATAATGAAATATTTCCCTAGTTCTTTGACAAATGCTTTTACGTGGTTCACAATCCTACCTCCTAATTCAATACTTAATTGAGTACAATTAGAAAGGAATTTTCATAAACAATTCTTTAGAGGTAAAACGCAAGTTAGTTTAATATATCTAATGAATATAAAAAGGTATCATAATAAAAATATAGACAATTATTTGAACATACTTAGGCAAATGAGATCGAGATGTTTTACACAAATCCTCGAGAGTGAAGTGGTAAGAATGGTAGCAACAGGACTAGAGTTCTCGATAAGAAAGAAATTAGTTAATGTATCATTAAGGGACATGACTTAGTTGGTTGATTAAGTTGGAAGGATAAAAAAGATTAAATATGATAAGGAGCAATATAATAAATTTGGTAAGGCAATAAAGAAAGATAAATTTGGATATGTTGGAGTTGATACATATAATAATGAGTTGTCTCATATATTAGAAGGAAATGAAGATGAGGAATTCAGTGAAAATGATGAAATAAATATTGTTGAAATTAAAGTTAGTTTGCCTTATATTTGTAAATTAATACAAAAAAGTGAGATCTCAGATAAAATGGAAAATCGAACTTATTTTGATGTAACTAAAACTGATAAAATTTTTGATATATTGTTGAAAGATAAACAAATAAAATTGAGTGAAGACTATAAGTTGCCAACTTTAAAGCAAAGAAAATGGTGAAATTATTGTAAAATTCATAAATATGTGGTCATTGGACTAATAATTGTATTCATTTTAGGAATACGATACAGGATGCTATCGAGCAAGGTAGACTGAAGTTCGAAGAGAAACCAATGAAGGTGGATATCGATTCTTTTAAGGCTCGTGTGGATTATGTGGAAGTTAAACTTAATGTTAATGATGGTGTTAAGAACTGTGTTGATGATTTGGAAATTTATATGGTGGACATTACTTAAAAGGATGTTAATCCACCTCACTTTCGATGATGGTGAGGAAGACTTGGAATTGAAGTTAGAGGATTTTGAGATAGAAAACGAAATCTATCCTAAAGTGAATGATACTTTAGTGAAATTTTTTAATGGGAAGAAGGAAAATGATAAAGATGTTGTCTTATATCCGAGATGTAGGGTTGTATTCGATAAATTCGCTGCCAAAAAGTTTAAATTAGACAAGAAAGTAAAAAGGACTTTTACTTGAATATTAAATATAACTTCCTCTTATTTATTTAATTGAATATTGAGTAAGGTTTTTTCTTTTACTTTAGTGTTGGTTCTTTTTGCACATTTTTTATTTTAGATAAAAAAATTGACAGTGAATAAAATGACTTGTGTTCTCATGCAAATTGATGTTAATTTACTTCAAATTTTCGGTAATTTGAGAAATTATACATTTATCTTACAACGTATCCATGCATGTGAAATGTTCAAATTTTATTTCAGAAGCACTTAAATAATTATACAAATCGATATTAGTTTCAAACTTAATATGGGTGAGCCATGTTTCATACTTTAACATAAAAATATTTTTTTTATGCTCTTCTTAATTTAAGTGTCGAACAGTCATTTATAAGTAAATCTTCATTTAGTATTTAGTATATTAATTGTGCTCACATATACTCAAATTAGATCATAAATATTAGATAATTATTACCTCACAAAGAACTTGGAACAAAGTTGTTCACTTTTTTTTTATCTTATAAAATAATTTCAAATAATATGTAATGAATATGATACATTAGTACGATTATTTTAACTTAATAAATGTTTTTGAATTAAAATTGTATTAAATATCGATATCATATTTTGTCTAATATTAATAAATGTGTTAACAATAATCACACACATAATATCTATGAAATATCTCACTTCAAGCTCCCTCTGATATGGGAGATTTTGAATCAATTTTTTCTTCCACATGTTTTTTTTTTTTTTTTTTATGTAATTTGTTTTTTATTTTTTTATTTTTAAGTTATGTTTTGCACACCTTCATATATTTGTATCTCACTTAACGCCGCCAAAACTAACTCATTTACGGAAAAATTATTAAAACTGCCGAATATGTTTTAGCTGTTGGTCATATGTACCCTCTTTATATATATGTTGCTCTTCAGTTTTTCATTAATATAATCATTACAAAGAGTATAAAAAAATCAAATGTGATTAATTTGATTTGATTTTATTTTATTTTATTTTAATATAAAATTTCAACCAAACCAAACCAATGTTGTGACTTGGTTTAAATAGGTTTTTGCGGTTTTTTATATCATCAAATTATTAAACAATTTTCTTTTAAAATACAAATTGTTAAACTTGTAATATCTTTAAATCTTCAACGAGTGAGTTTAAAAATAAGTTTTAATGTCATTTGTTAGTAATCTTAAACTTGAGATCATCAAGGATATATCATGTATTTATTCTTCATACATAATTATAGAGGTAAGTGGTAAATCAGTAACAATAGTCATAAAAATTATGTTTTCGTAAGTTTTTATATTAATTCGTTCAACCTGTGGTATATATTGGATCATTAGTAAATTTAAAATCATGAAAAATAATTTTCTTATATTGGATGACATGCAAATATCATCTAATTATTTTATATTAGATTTTAACTTTGGAACTATAAGAAGATAATATGAGATACGACAATGAGTTGTAACGAAAAATAAGTTAATTTAAAAATCCTAACAAAAATATAAATAATGATACATCATTTATTTCATATTTATACTAAATAGAGTCTATTATTGAATCGAACTATTGATTCTAATATTATTGTTAAGTATTATTGATGGACAATTTTGAGAAAAAATTTATAAGTGAGAGATAAGTTAATCACATAATAAACTATTACATTATTTTAAACAAAAAAAACTTTAAAGTATTCAGTAGTGAGTATCACTCACTTATATGTTACTCAATGAATTAGTGTGTGAGCATCACACATGAACTAAAGTATTTTAGCATTGATAAACCCCAAGAGTTTACAAAGGAAGATCACTTTATAAAGTCATCTTCATTTGAATATAGTGCTGATAAATGAACCAGTTGCTCAACCCTAAACTATTGACTATCATGTTTGGTAGACTCAACCAACATCCTTATTATCATCATGTCAGCTCAGTGAGAATTGTAAAAGTGTCATATTTATAGTAATGATCATCCTTAAAAAACCCTCTCAACCTAATATTTATTAAGCACCATTAACACTTCTCATATTGAGAGTCCTCCTCAAATGAACCTATATAACAAAGCTTAGTAGATTGATATTGAATAGAAATATTAAGAGAAGGATAACTCCTCAAATCATATAAACAAATGATGTCATGTTGAAGAGAGTGCATAAAGAAGAACAAGAAGAGATTGACAAGGAAGACCCTGAAGAGGTACTTAGTAGCAAACCTGAAGAAAATCTATTAGACGAAGACCTGAAGAAAATTTATTAGAGGAAGACGAGACTAAAGAAAATGATGAAAAAAATAGATTTCAAGATTTGAGGCATTTTCAATCATTAAAGACCATATTGAGAAAGATCCGCCTGAAGATCCTTTTGGAGGTGTAGTTGAATGTTCTAAATTAATAATTTTTTTATATCTTTTTGGGATGATCAATCTAAAGTTGGAGTCTTTTCTATGTATTTAATTATTATCATATGTATTCAAATTTTTATTTTATCTTGAGTTGTATATGATATATTGATACAATTAAGACACACTTAGGTTTACTTCTCACATTTATCCACGATTTTACAAATATTTTGACAATAATAAATTATATATACAAAAATTATGTTATATATATTTTAAGTAAATTGGTGTAATTTAGCCTTTTTTAAAATAAAAATAAATTTAGTTAATCATTAATGAATTCATGAATTTTTTTAGTATTACAATAGTTCTTTTGTAAGATAAACATTATTTTTTATCTCTTTATAAATTGTTTGGGTTTCTTTAATAAAAACAAAACCTACAATACAATCCCTACCCACAAGCATGAAAAAGAATCACATGAAATGCTATGATATGTACCTACACACACTCAGTAGTTTGCGTGAGTATTAGTTTGCGATTTTATTAGATGCAATAGTCATAATTTTATTTTTTATTTTTTTATGTTGAGGTAGTTTATGTGGCCACAGTTACTAATCCTAATTTTGTTTTCCTATTTTCGTTCACAATATTTTCATCTTCTACTTTTTCATTCTATTAAACATGTTATTAGGACTCAAACTTAAAGTACAAGTCCTAGTTTCAGATTGTTTTTCATTTTTATTCTCTTTATGATAAATTATTTGAGATAATTACTGCCATTAGTTGTTTAAGCATTATTGGGCAATACATTTTGAATGCAATAGATATGAGTGAGTATATAAAAATATTAAGATAAATCCATGTAAACATAAATGTCCTTCACTTTATAAATTGGGAAATGAGTGATTATATAGCTTTTGAACATTTTGTGTGAATATAAATCATATTTCAATTTTAATTTATTTATTTTTTATTAATTTATTTTATTATTTATTTATTTTTATCAATTATAATATTATTACTTTTTTTCTCTTAATTTAAAGATTTTTTGTCCGCTTTCTCAAATTCATTACATAATCAAATATGAGGTCAGTGAAAAATACATTATAGTATATAACATACAATATCAATGGTTATAACCTTGTGTTGTGCTTACTTTTATTAAAAATATTTTTTTTTAAATAAGCAGATTTCTATTTTTTTAAAGTAACTTTTAAATTATTGCAATAAATAAATCATGTTTATTTTTTAAATAAGTATTTTTTTTAATATTTATTTATAAAACATATTTCAATCAATGGATAGTAAAAATTTTAAAGTAATTATTATAAAGTCAAAAAATTTATATAATATTATTAAATTATTTTTAGTGCATAACCTAAATACAAAATTTAAAAAAAGGAAAAAATAATTTTTTTCATGATTATTTCTAATAATAATTAAAAAAAATTACACCATCAACCATTCAAAAATGATTATTAGCATGATTTTTAACATAGTCATTAAAAATTAATAAATGTATTATTATACATATCTATTACATCACTAAGTAATGTTATCAATTTATTTTCGTATACAAATAATATATATATATATATATATATATATATATATATATATATTCCCTAATGACAGTTCTTTAGAAAGAAAAAGAAATCTTGAAGAAATTGATATATGAAATATATATATATATATATATATATATATATATATATATATATATATATATATATATGTGTGTGTGTGTGTAATTTATTGAGAACTACTTTTAATAATATAACAATATTAATATTATTACAAATAATTACTAATTTAGTGTATGTTTTCTATCCAATTATTAAATCATGTTTTTCTTCCGAGAAAGAAGTATGAAACAGTAAATTAAGACCTTTGATTATTGAAGAGACGAAACTTGAAAAGTGACATTTGATTAATGAAAATAGAGAAAAGTGGGTCACTGAATAAAATCATTGTATGAAAAGTATGTTTTTGGTGTCAACAAGTTCCAGAGTTGGCTGGGGAAAAAACATTGCACCACTATGTAGACTAATATTTGTGGTAATTTTTCATAGAAATATTACACTCAACTGTAACAGTTGATTAATTAAGATGAAAATGGAATAAGTCTTTAACAATTAATAAATGAGAAAATAAGGGTTAACATGTTTTCAATCAATACTGGAATTTGTCAGAATCTTCAATCAATAAAAGAACATGCTTTGAAAATTCATTGAGTAAAACTTCAATAGAGATTCTATACAGTAAAGACAAGAGCCTTTTTGGGAGCTGAAAATTTATTTAAATTTGTTGCATTTAGTATATTACGACAGATCTTCTCCAAATGTTGTTAGTACTGTGTGCATTAAAATCATAAGGATGAATTGTGAACCAAACCTACTTCACCATTTGTTTGAACTGTAAATTGGAATTGAATCTAATTGACAGTGAATTGTTCTATAATGTAATTGAGTTCTATCAGTTACATCTGAATAAAAGAAAAAAGGAATTTAACAAAGAAATGAAAATTAGGGTACAAAATTAACAGAGGTAATGCTGAAGTAGTCCCTGCTGACTGACTAATGTGATCAGATGCCTCACTGAAACCTTAAATGATACAGTTATTCTACAACCCTTCTCTTTACTTCTCCATTTTTTTCAATCACTCAACCCTCTCTTTTTTTTCTTTTTTTTTTTTTTTCATTTTTGGCTTTGGCCATTGCCATTGCTTCTTCTGCCATATACAGATACAAGAATGACTTTAATGTCTGTGTGTTCATGATGGATTTTAATGTCAGAAACTTGTATATCTCCCTCGTTCCCTCGTTCAGTATATTACAACACGAATCAGGCCCGGCTGCGGTTCGTTGAAATCAAGGCCTTCTTCCTCAAGTAGATATTGCTGTACAGCTATTGGAAGTCTTGCCGGAGTGCGTGAGCCACGGGTGTGGTGGCCAGTGCCCACACAGATGTAAACCTGTAGACGCTGCTCGGAGGCTCTAGCAGTGCTTCTAAGCACACTCAGTTCGTGTTTCAGCACGTTGATCGCTTCACTTACATGCAGACCGTGTAGGTCTATCATTCTCTGGTGCCCCCTTCCATTAACTTGCATCTCTGGAGCCCCCGGATTCCTGAAAAATCAATATTCACATCACAAGGATTCCAGCAGAATGAAGCACCTAGATTTTTCTTTTCTTGAGGAGCATTCAACTGTTTGGAAGCCTCGGTTGGAGAATAATTGAGAAGGAATGGCAACAGCAGTTTGGAAAGTAGATTTTCTCACAGAAATAGTGGTACTCTCATTTGAACCTCAATTAAAACTGACGATAGAAAAGGCTTGAAGCTTGAAGAATGGATTTCAAGTATTCCGTGCTTCCAACCACATTGAAGATGATGATGTCCATGATTTTTGTTAGATCTTTGTTGTCATAATCTTGGGTTTGATGGATTGTAAGTGATCTCTCTATCATTAATCTTGAAAAACCAATGTAGACAAATAATTTTGGAAGTGTTTGTTCCTTGTTTAAGATGTACTGCAGAATTTTAAAAAGTTAAAATCCCTTTACGTAGTTAATGTTCTTATGATTGTTGGTTTTACAATGGTTAATATGTTTATTGTTCTTAAGCTGAGTCAATTTTAAGTACATTCTGTTTTAATAGATCAAATCCACTTAAAATGACCGCTATAGTGATTTTAACATATTAAAACCACAGTCTAACAAATTAAAATTCTACAACAAAACACTAGATTAAAACCGACTTTAATATATTAAAACTGACAATCTCATGAGTATACTCTGTCAAACCATTAAACATGTATCAATTCAAAAAAGATTCTGAATCATTTTCGATATACCTTGAGAGAGCTATACTGTTGTAAAATTCTTTACCTACCCTCCTAGGATTTCCAGTGTTCGTCAATATTATTGCAAAGAATTGATCACGTGTAGATTGTCTTTATTCTTCATTCTCTAACTTGTACTGAAGCTGTTCAAGTGACCTTGTTCCTTTTCTTTGTCATTCCTTCTGTTTGCGTGTTCTTGGCTAGTGTTGCCAAGCTTGTGTTCATGGCTAGTGTTGCCAAAATTATGTTCTTGACTATGGTGGTCAAGGTATACCATGTGACATTGTCACATGTGTGGTGATTGATCTTAAAGGGTTCAAGATCAAGAGTGGTTTTAATTTTTCTTGTATTCTTGTGAGTCTTATAAAAACTTTAAAAATTAGTGGATTGGTATAATCGGGGTGACTAGGCAACTGGATATAACTATCTTGCAAGAGTTAACCAATGTAATTATGTTCTCTCTCCTCATAGCTTATATCCAATATAATTGGATATAAAAAAAAATACTTGTCTTGCATCATTGTTGTTCCTTATTTGAAAAAATCAAATACCACTAAATATAGCATTCTTGCACTAAAACTGTGATGTGTTATGTGATCTGTCTTGATTTAAAGAATATTGTTAATCCATTTGTAAAAAATTTCAAAGTTCAATTCACCCACTTTTGAACTCAGCCTCTTGAATCAAATACCTCATATTTTTTCTCTGTAAGCAATTGGATTGGATAACTTGGTGATTACTTGTGTATGGTAAATCACTCAGTTTGTTTCATACCTCTCAACCAATGAGACCAACATTCTTTTCAATGGCCATAAGTCACCAAATATAAAAGGAGAGACACATAAATGCATGTAGAAAGAGAAACAAGTGAAAGGTACAAATAAGAACAAAAAAAAAAAAAAAAATAGAGCCAGCCTGTCAAAATAATGTTTCCCATCATATCATTATATGCAGGTTATGAAGGGCAGAAATATACTACTGTTTATGAAACTTAAAACTGGACTGAACAAAATGTCCAACTAATATAACCGTGTTTATGGTTGAGAAATAAACCAGACAATTGACTAGTTAAGGTTCAATCTCAGCCAAATTTATGGTCGACTACCACTGAACAAGTAAAAGTAATTACACTAAGATCCCCAGAAATTTTCTCAAATTACACTTCCATTCGTACTTATTTCATCAGTAAAATTGTCTCCCTTAATGGGGTGCATGTGTAATGTTTATAAAACTTAAGGGATACATGTGTAATGTAAATGGGGGAAAATGTAAAGTTTTTGAAAAAAATTGAGAGGTTTTGGAGAATTTTTAAAAAACTGGAGTGTTAGTGTAATTTGAGAAAATCTAAAGGAGTGTTAGTATAATTTACTCTAATTTAAACAAGTCTCAATCATATTTCATTAATGTTCATATATATCTTAATTTATTCTTATTAAATCATTCATTTCAAGCGATGGGTTTAAACTGATAAACATGTCAAAAGTCAGACCAGTTCATTGTCTAGTCTGGTTTTAAGTTCTGACCACGTCCCTGTGTGTCATTGTGATAACCATACAAATTTTGTGCTTTTTAGCGAAAGAGTTGCATGGATAGGAAGAATGATAGAATTGAGAAAAACAAACCTCTGACGGTAAATAGATTCTTGAGCTTTTCCATGTGCGGCTTTCATATGCATGTTGTGCAGTTGCCCTTTAACACTTAGCTCCTTTGCAAGGGCCTTGTTGCCAACAAGGTAGGCTTGTCGTGCCTGTTTTTTATATTGTGAAGAATTAAACTCAATATACAAAAATTAAGATGGTGGATTCATGTTACACCTCTTCCCGAGCTAGTGGGATATAAAGTGCAATTCTTGAAACTTGACTTACAAAAGTGTTAGCTGCACAACTTCCATTACAATAAACAATAAGAAAAAAATGTAATGTTGCATAAAACAAACTAAAACTTTGATGTGCTGCAAGGGGTTTGCCAGTTACACAACAAATATTCCTTTACCTTATTGTTGGTGCATATTCAATTTGGTATCATCTTAATAGCTCTACTTAAATTTACCCAAACTACTAACCATATCCAATTTGATTGTCCAAATTTATACTAGAAAAAACAAAATAAATAACATAAATAATGGACTACTACTAAAAAAGTATGGAAGACTAGAAGTGTGGGTAAAGCATATGGATACAAGCCAGCCAAGAAGTACGTAGGTTGGTTGTAGGCAAATAATTACAATGTATTCCCATTCACTTCTCCATCACCCCATGAAACAAAGACCCACCTGCTCAAAATAAGCATTACGCAAGCGTGCATGATCACGAGCCTCCTCCCGCAGCTCAGAGTACATAGTTGCTGTCATTCAAAATTGTTAAAGGAAACATGGTATAGAAAGAATTTGTCTCACACTTGAAGCATATAAACAATAACATTTACCAACTGTGTCACCAGTTTCAAGCCAAACAGGAGCTGCCCGAGCAGAACCGCGGTTCTGTAATCTATCACCAAAATTAGCTCTCCCCTGTCCACCACTGTAGGCACTAGCCAGAGCATTTAAACTCCTACTAGAGCTGGTGGAAGTATCACCAGAACCATTTTTATCGTACTTCCATATACCAGAGTCCTGAGAAGCCAATTTTCTGACTGCTGCAGCAAAGTCAACAACCCCTCTAGATGGAATAGAAGAGCCAGTTTTGAACATGAGCATGTCTTTATCAGATGATAAGTAAGGATTGCCACCTTGTTGAACATTTTCTGCAGCATATTTTGCAGTATTCTGGCCATTTGATGAAGTAAGAGCCGGAAATTCCATTGCACTCAGATTGGGAGCAGACACAGTCTTTGGACTCAGATTTTGATTGAAGCTACTACCATCGACTTGAATCTACAAAATTGAAAGGGGGATTTAGTTGATATAATTAACGTAAAAGTCTTCGGTTAAGAAGAATGTCTGGAGAGATAAAAAATTCACGAGAGATGACAATGATATCCACAAAATAAAAAGAAACAAGAGAAATGCTAATAAAATTCCAATTGTCAGTTGATTACAAGAAGTATAAGATATAAGAATTATGGAAACAGTGATTGGAAACTAGGAAATGGATTGCATTAGTGTTGCCTCACAACTTTATGTAACGCCAGCTCTTCCCTGCCAAAAAAGGGCACAAATACTTCTCTATATCTTTAACTTCCATCCCTTCTGATTTAACATAGTATTGTACAAAATCATTTAGCAAGATGTGAATTTCAGACCAATAATTGCACCACAGCATGCAAGGATACAGTTATAACACACACACACACACACACACACACACATATATATATATATGCATTTTTACCAACAGTCACATGAAAAGTGGCTTTATAATGAACCATAATTTAACCACATATAAGTTATTACATGAAGAATCAACCTCTAACTGAGTGAGCATCTCAATGGTCAGATGTAAATCGCATCCATTGGCAAAGAAAACTTCAGCAAGGCTTTCTGAAGCAAAACCGGGAAATAGAGAAGCTAAAAGCTCCAAAGGGTTCAAATCAGTATCACTCAAAAGAGAATTTCCAGGAAAAACATCATTTAAGAATCCGTGTCCAGAGTTGTTATCATAAAGAAGTGCCTCTTGACTATTGCTAACATGCAAATCGGTACTCCCAATTTTCCTATCCCAAGGTTCTGATGATGAGTTCAAAATACTTGGTGAAGATGGTTCCTCCCTGTATATTGAATTCGAAAACCTTAATTTATTAGCAAAAGTATTGCCATTAAGGTGCTGTTGAGCCAATTCCTGCTGCTCATTTAACATATATCTACTTCCTTTAGAAGAAGGAATCATTGAGGATTCATTATCATCATTTATAGATAAGCCTGACAAAGAGAGGTTGTTAACACCGTGGGATTCATCTTCTCCCATGACCTTGAAGTCAGGGGTGATATCATCAGGAAGCTGACAACGCCAGTACCGGTGAGCCTCATCATCGGAATTATTTGAAATGGATGATTCCGATCGATCGAGAACTGCTTTACCAAGAGATCCAGCAGTAGTAGTAAACCTCGCTGTCGCATCTACTGAGCTAGTGCTGCCAGATGGCGATGATCTGAGGGCAAAGGGAACAAACTCTGCTGCATTTGGATTCAAAGAGGTTGCTTTGTTTGGGGTGCTCAGTTTTGCGTCTGTTTGGGATACTTTCTTGGATAAGCTCATTATTGACAAGAATATATTGAAAATGACAAAAACATGGATGAACAGAAATATTCCAGACGGCTTCAACCAAACCCTGCAAAAATATTTCAATTTGGTCATATATAATAAGTTCATGAACCAGACTGTCATCAAAATACAGGAACAACAAAAATCCTGAAAAACTGTCATGTTTCATGTACTAGAAAAGAGAATTCAACAGCATCAAAGATCACATGATGCACAATGAGCAACTCAATTTTGATTCCAGTTGCAACAATTTTTAATATCAAATCAACAGAGCAGTGAAGCAAGTGTAAAACATCTGCAAATAGGTTGGTTATCACTGCAAGCAAAAATAGGATGATGATCATTTACAAAAGCCAAACTTGAAAGTGAATCCCACAAGCTCAATTGAACAACAGAGTGAGTATTATGAAATACAAACACCACTTTTAGTTAATAATATGAGTACCAAAAATGCATTGATGAAACACTTAGCAATTTCACACAAAGTAAGCAACAGCTGGATAAAAGTAAAAACCCTAATTTTTCTTTTCAGGAGCAAATAATTGACAGTATATAAGATTAAGTATACAATTGAAAGAATTGTTCGATTAGTAAAACCCAACAAAATTTCCAAAAATCTTAAACATTACCATAGAAACAACAAACAAAATAAAACTGCGACAGATTATAAAAAGCTGAAGCCAATAATAAGAAAAAGTCAAAGCATGAGCACAACAATAACACAACCTTCCGTTATGAAAGCCATAACCTTTTGCGGGATCTCAAGCAAGTCAACACCTTAATAATAACAAAAATAACAAAAAAATCAAAACAAAAGAAAAACCCAATAAGTCCAATTAATCAAGCATAACAAAAGCAGATAATTACAGAAAACAAAAACAGACAATTAAGGAGATGGTCGATTGAAAGATCTGGGTTTTAAGGAAAGTGTGTAAGGAAAAATTATACCTTTGCGAATCAAATCAAAAGGATCCATGAGGGGAGATAGCATGAGATCAGGAGGGGTAAGAGAGGAAGAAATGAAAGTGAAGCAAAGTTTTAATTTTTCTTTCTGGGAATTGGAGCTTGTAACTATCTCTCCCTAATATTGTTAACCCAGTTAACAGCTTTTCTTTTCTTTTTTTCTTCCCTTCTCGTTCTTTCTCTCTGTTTTCTGCTTCTCTTATTCAGTTTATTTTTTGTGTTGAAATTGAAACCCTCTTAGGCTTATAGCTAATACCAGCACCACAAAAATACTAAGGAAGAAACCCAACCTTTCGCCACTCGATTTGACCCCTCTCTCTCTTCTCTCTCTCCTCTCTCACAACCTCATAACTCAACACTGTTTATACACTAATTTTTTATAATTAGTATCTATGATTGGGATTTGGGAAGGGAAAAACGGTGGCGCAAACACTCTTCTTCTCGCTTATTTTAGTGCATTTAATTAATTTAATAAACAAATGCATCATTCTTCGAAAGAAACTATAGCAATCAATACTCTTGTTTAAAGAATTGCTTAAAAATATATATAAAATAAAATAGTATAATAGTTTAACATCTACATAACATTTATTAGTACATTAGTAATAAAATATTATAATAAGCAATATACTCTTATCTAAACAATTGCTAAAATTAAAGTTGTAAAAGTTTAATAATAACATCTATCCTTTATTAGTAAATTATGATAAAATATGGTAGTAATCAATAATACTCTTGTATAAAGAAATGCTAAAATAAAGAAATGCTAAAATATAAAGTTTTAAAAGTTTAATATCTCACATTTATTAGTATGTTAAAAAGGAAGGTTGTGTTTCTTTATAAATATTATAATCGAGATTCTAGATTTTTATATTCATATTTTATAACAATTCATTGTATATCTTTTCTTTGTTTCTTTTCTCTTAGTTTTTCATATACTAATAAAAGGGATATAATAAATTTCGTATACTTTTTTTATAAATAGCTTTTTTTAGCTAAAAAAATCTAAAAGAAATTGACACTCGAAAATGTGTACATGCATCATCATCTTAAAATAAGATGTTTCAAATAAAAACATTTTCTTAACCATTATCATCACTTTGATTGAAAAAATATTTATATTATATTATATTCTAATTTTTATACATTAATTGTTTACTTTAAAAAAACTTAATTGAATATTAATTTTAATTCTTTAATATATTTTTTCTTTTAAAATTAAAAATAATTGTTTTTTATTATTTGTATCATGTTACACTTGGTAAAATGGGCCAAATTTTCTAAATGGATAAAGTTTTTTTTTTAATTATCCATTTAGGAAAAATTAAAAAGGGAATTACACTCTTTTAAGCAATTGGCCAGTAAAATACTTATATCTTAAAAAAAATAAAAATTTCACCTTATTACTATTGTTTGTGATACAAACATGCGTTACTCTAAAATTAAAATGAGTTATGTAGATTCAATTTTATAAATATAATTATTATTTTTAAAATTAAAAAAAATGTATTTTATTAAAATATATAGTATTAATTAATTTATATAATAATTTATTTATTTAAAGGGTAAAAGTTAAAGATTTGTTGTTTATTTTTATTAGTTATTCTTTTTAAATCTAAATTATTATTTTAGACATTGAATTACTAAAAAATAATAATAGGATAAAGAGTAAATATCTCTAACTTTTATTTTTAGAGTGAATAAATATCTCATTTTACAATTTATATATCAAATTATTATATATAAAATTAAAAATAAAATTAATTTTATTAAAAACATTTCCAAGTAACTCTTTCATAATAGGTGTGATGTGATAATAAAGTTTCTTAAAAAGTTATAAAAATAAAATTTTGTGTAGGGAATTGGAAGACATCTTCCAAGGGATTTTAGAATTTCTTACCATTGAAATAAATTTTAATAAAATTTCTTAACTAATGACATGTGGATTTCACAAGATACAATATTTTTTATATATTTTTTTATCATTAGAGATATCTTAATATAATTTAAATTTTAAAAATATATTTTTTTATTTAAATTATTTTTTAAATAAATTATTTCATATAAATATGTTATAATTTTGTTAAAAGAATTTAAATAAGTTCCATCAACTTGGAACACGATTATTAGGTAAAGTTAAATAATCATAATTCCTTTCAAATGTAAGGTGTTGTTAGTTATAAAATCCAATAAAAAATATATAAGTTGACACTAATGTTAAATTTGGTTTTAACGACAACTTGCAATGTTGAACTACAGAGGGATCGTGATTTAGAATGGAGAGGTGACGCTTTTGAAATTAAATGGAGTGACAGTTGCGCCACTGCCATCTGGTCTATATTGCCCATTTGGTTTATGTTATATTCATTATTCAATCAAACACTTCTGAGTTTTTGTTTATCTTACGTGTTGTACATATTGTGATTTTTATAAGAGATAATTTTGTAGGACAGTTAAAAAAAATTATAACAAGGGTTTTTGAATTGTTATTCCAATCGTCGTTAAAAAAAAATTAATATATTAACGATGATTTTGAATAGTCATAAAACTTTATTTTCTCTGTTATAAAAAATAACAAACTTAAAAGATATTCATCAACAACGAAAGTTTTTTTCCATTAGTATTTTGTTGTTTCGTCACAATAAATCTGAAAAAAAAATTTTTACTTCTTTATTATTACTCTTCTAACTCAATTTTAATGCATTCAATAGAACATTATTCTCTAATTTCACCTCAACAAAACATTGTTCTCTATTTATGTCTCAACAAAACGTTGTCTTTAATTATTATTCTCCCTTATGACAACTTGAGGTGTATTAGAGACATGTGGGGGAGACATTTACGATGTACGATAGAGAGAAACACTTTGAGAAAAAAAGATGAAGAAGAAGAACAAAGTTTGACCATAATGAATAAATAAAGGGAAAAGTTACAATAGAGGAGGAGAAGAAAAAAAAAAAAAAGAGAAGAAAAAAAAAAGTAAAAACTCAAAATAGAAATGAATAAAATAGGCGAAGTTTAAAATTTTTCGAAAGATACATCGATAATTTTATAAATAACCGTCATCTAATGTACATATGGGATGGGACTAGTAAATTTTATTGTTTAATGTGGGATGTTTGTATTTTAAGTAGTTGCGAAAATTTCAGGAAAATTGTGTGTAATAATTACATGCAGTGAAACTTAATTTTTCATTTGATATTTTTTATAAAAATTAAGTAATGTCTTAAATTTGAAATCCATGAGAAATGTTCATATAAGTTGTTTTATTAAAGGGTGATTATTAATAATAACTGTTCGATTGGACAATTTTAGAATATTAACTATTTTTATCATTTACTAATATATATATTTAATAAATATTTAATATATTAATAAAATTTTGGTTGATTATATTTGATGTTCATGGTTGATTTAATATTATTATTTTTATTTCATATAAAAAAATGTTATTGAATTTTGTAAAATATAATTAATAATTATTATAACAAAAGTGAGTTTTTTAAAGTGGGATTGTGTCAATTCTATGAGATAAGGATGGAAGTTGAATTAATTCACATTAGTGTAACATAATATTATACTAGTCTTAATAGAGGAGGATTTAAGGGTTGATCATGTGATTTATAAAAAGATTGAATGTTAAAGTCTTGAACATGATATATTAAATTGTTAGATCCTTTAAATGTTAATCAAACCAAGAATGGTGTTGATTTAGCTATGGATGAATAATTCAAGGATATTATTCATCACGTTGGAACTTTTGCATAAATACATGTGTAAGAGAATATGTCGAATAATAGAGAGATTTTGTTTTATTTTAGTTCAACTAACATAACATAGTTGTCAATAATGTAAAGATCAATGAATTTGAAAATAAGTAATGGATGAACGGATAAAAACTTCATAAAATTACTTTAATTATTAAAGAAAATACTTGTGGAAGAAAATATACTACTTAATTAATTGTAACCATAAGGCAAAAAGATAACTTACCTTATGGGCAGTGACGGATCTTCTTGGGAGCTGAGGGG